TTGAATAAAGACTTTTTGGCTCTCGTTGCAAAGATATTTATGTGCTTTTGCATTCTGAAGGCGCACTTTTATAATACATTTAGAAAACAATTGAAGAGACGAATGGGTTTCTTTGAAATAAAAAACTAACAAAGCAGATAAAAGGAAACCTGTCCAAAATATCATCTGATGTAAGACCAATATGTGGGAGAACAAAAATGGGCACTAAATGAGAAAACTGGTCACTTGTCCAGCTCAGCAGCTGACCGATTCCCTGTCAGACAGAGAAAAACATCTTTAATAAGGTGTATGATCGCCATTAGCTACACAACTCTCGCATCCACATTTCATATTGTTTTCTAGGGTCCTTATGACAATCGCGCCCACTCTTGCATTAAGAAACCCTTGAGCTCATTGGTTGTTAGAGCTGGTCTTCGAGCTGCAATTGGGCATCCAAGTGTGTCTCATACGTGCTTATTTGGATTAAGGCCTCTCCTATCTTTGAATATCCTCCGATAGAAGGTATTTGTTCACCAACTGAGCCCTGTGTAGACAAGATTAATCGTTCATAAAGATTGAATTCGGCTCATATGCTTCAAGGAAAAGTCTCACATAGGGCGCAGGGATCTCGTTCCAGAACCGCTGGCCTGTTAGAGCACCACTATCGATCACATAAAGGTCGATATACCCGTCTCCCAGGATGCATCCCCTGACCATCAGACAACCTTGACCAGGTTATCTTTTATATCCGTTGTTGAACAGTTGACCCAATTTTGGGTTTAAGACTACTAACGTTCAACTCCGTAGCCTTGTAATTTTGAACCAATCCAGAAGACAAGGAAACTCCTGGATCAGTACCCCCAGAGGTATGATTTGATACGGGAACATGGAGGACTTTTTGACTCGATGGATTTAACGTGCATCAGTCACAATTTACTATACGGGAGTCAGAATAATATACATTCATGCAACAAAAAAATTCTAAACAATTCGTATGTTTTACAAAATGGACATAGACAATTCACCTGGTTTTTTTTCATATTCGTGTTCAGTATTCTGAATTCATTTGAAAAAGACGATGCTTATTTCCGAAGCAAGAACTTATTGAAAATTTATTTCCCAGTTTAATGGTAAGTAACAGTAGAGTCTTAGTAGAATCATGAATTCCAACTTCTACTGCACTCATTTTCAAATTCTGTATCTGAATATTTCACCAGTTCATATTAATGAAATCAGTTTGACCAGAACTGAAAGTTCGACGGAAATGAAAATAAAACTGGTATCAACATCATTTCATTCGTAGCTGATTTTCATGAGTAGTACTTTTCTTAATCATAAACTATCCATCATAGGTAAGAAAACAGCCTTATATGTGTGTTAAAAAAAATTTGGTTGTCATGAATATTTTAATTTTTTCGAAAACAAGCAATGATTAAATGATTTTCTTACAATCTTTTCCCTTTTGCGTGCATAAATTATCTTTCAGTCCTGATATAAGTCTAAACTTACAGGTAGTAAACCTTTCAATTTCGTATATCCAAAATTCAACAAACTTTTCAAGGATATGGTATAAGTATCCATTATGTTCACTCTCCAACAAAACAACCCAGCTGCTGGAAATAGCTAATTTTATTTGTTTTAATTGATGAAAGTATGTCCTATATTTTATTTTATAACCGACGTTGAGCAGCCGACCCAATTTTGGGTTTACGGCTACTAATGTTCAACTCTGTAGCCTTGTAATTTTGAACCCAATCCGAAACACAAGGGAACTCCAAGATCAACTTTTGGAAGAAATTTGCCTTCGTGAAAGACTTTTCGATAACCCGCATTGGCGTTACATGTAGAGGAAAATCATGGAAAACTCTCACGTTCAGCCTAACGGCAAAGGGACTCTAACCCATGATCTGTCTACCACAGAGAATATTTTAAGTCAGCACTTTGGTTGGTACGAGTCGGGTGCAGGATTCATTTCGATCAGCCATCGCTGAGATTCGAACCCGGTTTCCTTTATTGGAAGGCGAACGCTCTCCCCTGAGTCACCCTGGCTCATGAAAGTATGTTTGTAGAACAATTTATAAGATAAATGGTCGCACGGAAGCGCCATTACATAAGAAATAGACAATACTAGGAAAATTGAGTATCGCCACTCCTGAATTATGCATACGAAAAGGCGCTGTAGAAGATGCATATTTAGTCAGTATTGGGACTCTTACTAATTAGTCGCTTCAACTGCCAGTGCGAATTTAACTTTTGGTTCAGATGCATTCGATCATGAATTGAGAACAATTATTAATAGGTGGTTTGTGTATGAGCCATTCAATTTTGTAAAACGTAGAACTAGGACTTTCAAAATCGATGATTTCAAGAGTATACCGAAAATACAATGGTGAGGAAAAACCAAGAAATTAGGGAAAGTGTAAAGAATAATTGGCTGTGAACGAGCTTGAGGTGAGACGACTCAGCTGTATCGTATGCCACCAGTGAAATCAAATATTAGTTCTAATAACTATTCACTGATTAACAATTACTGGATGTATATGCAGTTACCAAGTGTCATGTAATTAAATGTGCATATATGATCCTCGCATGTGCACGTATGAGTGCAACACGATTTGCAAAATATTGGCGATACCACTCCAGGGTATTGTGTAATGTGTGCTACTTTAGAAAAGGCAATTAAAAAAAAAACATAAAAAAAACACTTTAGCAATTATAATTATGAGAAAAATTTATCTATTTGAATTATAAATGAAAATGTTAAAAAAAATTTCGAATTATTCTCTATGTTAGTTTTTTTTCTAAATAAATTATGTTTTGTTTGGTATTAGAGGTGAATGTTAATTATACCACATAATTAACTAGACTCTCATCAGAATTTCCTTTAATTATTGTTTATAATTTGCAGAGATTTGTAAGTAATTGTATGAGAATTACAAAATACCAAATTTTAGTGAATTCCTTTCTGATGTGTTAATAATGAACATTTCATCGCTTACGAAATAAGAGGTGGCATTACAACAACATAATTCCTCACCAAATAACTGCGAAATGCGGAATTTCTAATCTCTCTGCTGTATGTAAATTTAACTGTCATTCATATTTCGTCCACTACGTCATAAGTTTTCCCTAACGCACCAACTTGTCACTATGTATATAGAGAGTTTTGTAAGCTATAATGAAGCTGCTATTCACAAAATGCAGTAGACTCTAGAAGATAAAAGCGTAATGAATTTCACATGCTATATAAGAGAAAACTAAGCACATAAGGTAATGTTTGAGCAATATTAAAACATCTTATACATATTTCACATTGATTATCCTTGATGACAATATGACACACTAAAAAGATTCACATAGTCTCTCTTGCCAATATTTATTTCAGGTTTTCATTGCAACTCTCATCTTTTTCAGGATCTCATTGCAACAAAACATGTGAAACTTAATTGTTTTAATTCAAATTAATACTAAATATAAACATTATTCTTTAAAAGATAGCATATCTGCAAATAAACAGAAAGGAAAATGTTTCACAATATATAACTTAAACATCAAAATAATTTTCTTCCAAGAATTCAAAACTACAAAAATTTTAAGTAAGTACAAGAGTGCGCTTCCCCATGCTTGCTTTATACGTCAAATCCCGCAATCGCTTCGTATTCTTTCTTTTATTAATGCTGAACACTGGGAACTATGTTTTAAAGGAAATGGTGGAAATATTGGGGTGTTAATGCTGGACTCGAATCCCTGTTCATGCTGAGATGAGGTTATGAGATTGAAATATTAGCCCTTTCGACAATAATATGTACCCAGCTCCAAAGAACTAAGCGGCTTCATTAAGTGGGCCTAGTTGGGGAGATAAAATTCTGGTTGTTTAACAGAGTTAGTTAAAAACTGTTAATAAACGATTTTCCACACAGTTAGCAGTTTAAATACCATCCTATGAATAGTTATTTGACTGCTTTTTATAGTATGGTAAAATAAAAGTTAAATAAATTGTTATTTAACTATTTTTTGAGAAATTTCTATATGCGTATTTGAATCTCTTATAACTCCCAAATCGTTGGAGCTAGGGTTATGAAATCTGGACATCGACTACGAGGTGCAATTTTAGACCCAGATCCGAAAAAACGTTTAAAAAAATTTAATTCGGGGGAAATGTTTGAAAAATTAGTTTAACAATTACCATTATAATAAATAAAATTATAAACGATACTGTTTAAGATTTTCTCGCGCGTTCTTTAATGTTTAATTAAATTTAAAATTCCAGTCATCAATATGAGTAGAAAGTGAATCGGTGATATATCACAAAATTATCATTTCTAAACTTATCTGAAACTAGGTTTTTATTTTGTATATAATTTTGCTTTTAAAACGAGTCTCAGGGGAAAAAATAATGTCTGATGAACGTGCTTCTTTAAAATTAATCAATTTTATAACGAAAGGAATCCTAAAACGAAAAAGCATAAAATAAAATCAATTAAATCGGTTAATTTTCCAGGCATTATATAGGCAGGAGTTCAATTTATATAAAATTTATCTTAGAATGTGTTGCAAGAATTTCTTACAAAAATTTTAAAAGTACATGAAAATTCGATGCTTTTCAAATAAAAATAAGAAGAACATCAAATACACTATTTATCATACTAAATAAACCAAAAGTTTATCTTAAAATCGCTTGAAATAATTTCCCATAAAATTTTTTAAAGAAAGCAGATCAAATGTGGTTTTCGAATAATAATAATAACACCAAATAAATCTCTTAATTTGCAACTGCTTTTTTTAAAAATTTTAATAAAAAATTCGTGCAACACATTTTAAGAAAAACGTAAAATAAAATTAACATAAAACCTGAAAAATAATACTGCATAAATTATTTTTTTTTAATTTACGAGTGATATTTTATGTAATACTTTTGTGTTCAGACCCATAGAAAAGTTGTTGTTATTTAATTACTTCATTACTGATATTAATTTGTTATATTTATTTTATATGTGTGACCGTGACGTTTCCCGTTAAAGATACTGAGATGGTTTTATCGCCTATCGCTACTTTACTTTTATCACGTGCATATCATTGATTTGGACTTTACTTCTGAAGCAACTGGAATTGTTTAGAATTAGGAAATGAAGTCGTTAAATGAAGAATGAAGAATTTAACAGCGAAATTTCCTAGCAGGAGCGTCACACTGTGTTTTTAATATAAATAAACAGCGAAGGAAAATCGTCTGAACTTGAAAGTAAGATTTTTTATCATTAGTAGTATTTAGATTGCTTTTTTTTTATTTATAACTTTATGCTATATAATATACAAATCAACGTGCTACGTAAATGAAAGTATTTTAAAATAAAATTTATTGGCAATTAAATTAAAATAAATTATGTTTGAATAAATTAAAATGGAAAATTTCGTTAACTACATTATCCTCAAAGAGTTGTTTGATTTTTAATCGAAGTAAAATAAACATTAGATTTATTTTCAATATTTCTTTGTTAAGAATCTTGCACTAATTTTTTCTACAAATTCATTTAGTTTTGTAGAATAACATGACCCGCATTGATAAAAGGTGGGCATATGCCACCTTGACATTCCTTTGGAATGTCAATGTCCCTGTTTTGCATATTTTTTTATAGTTTTTTGTAACATTTGTACAGGCTGCTCTTTTCAGCAAATTATCAATGCTTAAAAACATATATAAAAGTCTTAATTTTCGTGTTGATTTTTTTTAAAAAAAATAGTGTAAAAAGTTATGGGTATACAAACAACAAAATTACCAACCCTAACAGATTAAAGTTTCTATTTTGAAAGTTCTAAAAAAAAAAGATAAAACGCATAGATGAAAGGTGGACACATGCCACTTTGACATTCCTTTGGGATAACTTTTGTCCAGTTTACGATATTTCGCAACTTTTTTTGCAGTTTTTTGTAAAATTTATGTAGGCTGGCTTTTTTTGGCAGATCATTTCTTTTCTGAAAAAAAGGTAAAGATAGAAATAAGAAAATTACCAACCATATCAGATTAAAATGTCAATTTTGAAAGTTATTTAACAAATTTGAAGAAATTAAATATTAAAATTGAGAAGGAAAAAAAGAAACAAAAATGCTAAGTGTTTTGTCTAGAATAAAAGCAATCGTTTTATGCAATTTATTGTGCATTATTTTTAATTATGCATTTTTGATATTATTTTTAAACTAATCATTTTCTTGTTATATTTATGTTAGATTTTTTACTTTTTTATTGTTTTTGTATTATTTATTATTAATAAATACAAAGAACTAGTTTCTCCGTTAAATTTTTATGGAGATTTTATGCAATCTGTATTTAAGATATAAAAGTATCTTTTCATTTGTATTTATTTTATTACAGAAAAGCACTTCGCCCTAAAAATATGTCTAGCTTACAAAAAAGTTTAAATGAATGTAAAAAGCTCCTAACAGAATTATAATTTTTTTGTAAAACACTTAAAAGGCAATTAAAGTAAAAAATACAAGTCGCCATAATTTTTCCCATTTTGACTGAGTGTCATTATTTAACCTTTGAATATTACGTAATGCTTCTTTCAAACAAAAAATAAAAATCCTTTGCTTTCAATAAACAACTAATACTAATAACAATAGAATATTTACCTATTTCTTAAAAAAATTACTTGATGGGAAACGAAACAAAAAATAATCATCTTCAATGGTAAATAGTTTTATTTATAGCATTACATTTAGTTCTTTATTTCGTTGTATACATTAATTAAATAAAGTACTAGACTTCTTTTATCATTTATCATGGCATTTAAATGTTTGTTTAATTATTTTTATCAAAGAGTAGTAGAAAAATTTAAAATTTTACAGCTTTTATTATTAATTAAATTATTACCTTCATAAGTTTGAACAGATTAATTTGAAACTAATAAAGTAGCATTCTAAAATTTCTTTTTTAAAACATAATTGCTATTTATACGATACTATATACGAACTATATTAAAAGAATTATCGCGCATTATTTTGTAAAATAAAATCAGTTATTTGATGTCTTTCAATTATTTATTTAGCAGTAATGAGAAAAATTAATGCTTAATTCAATTTACAAATGATTCAGTTAAATTATTTTATATATTGCATTAATATTATAATTTTTTATCTTCATTATAAAAAAAACAACGAATGAATGTTTGATCTACGTAAATGATAAAATAGAAATCAATTTCTCATCTAGTAATAAGTTGAGATATTTTTATCTTATATTTAATTTCGAGATGAGATACTTTTTATCAATAGTGCTTAAAAGCACTTTAGAAAAGGATTACATAACATAAATAAATACCATTGTGCTTTTTGAAATGAATGTAACATTTTTCTGTGGCCAAGACCTAATTAAAATTACAAACAAGATTGATTTATAAAAAGATTTCTCGCGTTGCAGATAACTTTGGCATAAAGATAGAAGTACCAGAAAAATTATTCTTATCAAAATTAATTCCTTGAGTGTTTTCCTCAGAATGAAATCAATTGCAATTACAAAACACTTGTATTAAAGGCATATTTTTCCTTGAAAATAAAAATAACTCACAGCTTCCGTTAATTATTTTTCTTTTCTCAAAAATTTTGTAATATTCTATACATTTTCCCTTTTGTTTTCGCGTCAGATATAGTCTCTTTCACTGAGCAATATTATTTAAGCTGCAGTATGTTAAATTAAGAGTTATTTCATTTTGAGCAGAGGCTGAAGCTTGAGCTAAACTATATGATTTTAAAGTATGATTTAATCAAAACTTTCTATTGACCATTTAGTTGCTGTGCTTCAATTTTGAGTTAGAAATTTATCGTGCAAAACTATTTTTAAAAATTTAAGACTTTAAATGGGTACTAGCACTCAAACATTTTGTGTGCACAGATAATTATTTTTAAAAGAAAGCGGTTTTAAAAAATAGGGAGTAAATATTTTAAAATTAATGCAAAATCTTCCTTTTGCTTGAACTGTTATTTTATTATTTAAGATGAAAATGGTATGTAAATTTTTGCATTTTAAAATAATTTTTTTGCGCAAATTTAAAGCATACATATATATTTACTTCATTTTTACTAAAGATTCCGTTATAAACAAATAAACTTCTTTTTAAAAAAAAAAGTTTTATAACAAAAATAAAAAGTTGTATATGCTTCCTGTAAGAAAAAACCTTCATAACATGCACAATTTAAAGTTAACTATAAATGGGTTTTATCTGAAGTCGCGAAAGTTGGATTATTAATATGAATTTATTTATTTATTTTTCTATTTTTTTAATATTTCTGAAAGTTGTTTTCTCTGTTCTTTCGCTTTAATTTTTTACTAAGAACTGTGCTACTTAATAATTGCTTTATGTTTCATTCTGCTCTTCAAAATTTTTCACATTTTTACGACAAACTTTTTAATTTATTATTAAGACATCGAACTCAGTTTTCAATAGACAGTTATTTAATTAAGAATGCTTCAACAATTTTACCTGGTTGAAAAAGTTTTGGCGGATAAAATTGCGTTTATCAAGATTTTTAAAAACAAAGTTTGAAAAATGAAACATAAACCAAAAAACATCCGTAGAGCATTTTTGTGTTACTTTTATTGTATTTCACTTTATTATGAATACAAATATGGAGCAATTTGCATAATACTCTGTGTCTTAAAATATTTTTAAACTGTAGACCTTATTATTCTCAATAATTTAATACTGTGGAAAAATAAATTTTTCATTTTTTTAAGTATATGTTTTATTAACGCTCTGTTAGATTTTTCATTCTCAAATTACGGTAAAGAAAAGTTTACGGTAAAGGAAATACCGTTGAGGTTTTAAAACCGTTTATAACTAGTATAGTTAAAAAACCATAAATACAAAACTATACGTTTTTAACCATTTAGAACTAGCATGGTTTCAAAACCGAAAAAAAAGAAAGTTAACTAGAGATTGGAACTAGGCTTTTCATTGCGTAAGGAGCATTTAATAAAATTGTGATTCTATTATGTTTTATATAATGAACCGTTGAGTGTAGTTGAACTAATTCATGTGGTTGTTTCACCTATCGTAAGAGATGAGAAATACTAAACATTGTTGTGCTAAGCAGCTTTATGGTGCTGTTATCTACGCGAAAAGAGAGTAACGTTTTCTAATAGTCCAGAATCAGAAATTGGGGAGTGTGGGACACTGAAAACTCCTCATGTGTTGAAGGGATCATCGCGGCGTCAACGCAGTGACTCGAACCCCCGATCTATCGGTCATGAGATTAACAAATTAGCCCTCTCGGCTATATGTACCAGCTGCAAGAAACCAAGTAGCTTCATTAGGCTGACCTAGATGCTGCAATGAAATCAGTAATTAAGCTGTTTTTCTCACAATTAACAGTTTGAATACCATCTTATTTATGGTTGTTTGACTGTTTTGCTTGAATACGGTAAAATAACAACTCAATAAACTATAATTTAATCATTTTTATCAAGAATTTTTCTAACAGTACATTTCCATGCAATATGGCTGTCGAAGTATTTGATAGAAGCACTTGAATCTGTTGTTATATTAAGTCCCTGTTTTTATTGATTCAAAACATTTTTATACAGTCCATAGTTAATATTTATACATAGAATTAGTGCAATGAGAAATCATATATCATTTTTATTTTCCAGATCAGTTGTATGCACTTAACTTTTCATAATTTGAAAAGTATTATCTAGCATAAGTCATTTCGAATTAGATATTAGAAAACAAAATAAAATTATTATAATAATTCGGCCAGTTCTGTGTTCTATTTGAATGGATAAACTCTTTCTCTGATAAGAAAACTTTCAAACAGACTTATACGGTGAAGAAAAGAAACTCTATAGCATATTTTTAATCTAGTAAGCTATAGCTTATGTTTACGTTTTCTCAAATAATGAGGGAAAAATACTATAAGATTATTTTTCCGCAACAAATATTACTATTTCTAGTGCTACTAATATAACAGTTTTTGTGCATATGTGGGGAGGCATGCATTTTCTCGTGTGGGTTTCGAAAACTTCCAAGACTTTATTTGGATTTACTAGATTTATTAAACACGCAAATTGCCATTTCTTTTTTCTAACTCTTACAAAAAATTAGACTTAAAAATTACTTACAATAATTAGACTTAAAAATTTATAATTATACTTTAGGTTTCGACAATGTTAAAAAAAATTTACCGATTAAAAATAAGAGATTTGTTTGAAAATAAGTTTTTAAAAAAATTGGTCTAAATCTTCCG